TATAGTGTTGTCATACATTTTTATTATATCTATGCTATAAAGTCATGATAATCTCATTATTATTATTGTTTTTGGTAATCAAATATTTTTAGAGTGAATAAGGATGAGACAAAAATAGGCCTTTCATATTTATCTTTATTTTAACTATATTCAGGGATCTTCCTTTCTTTGTGTAGATCAGGTTTCTTTCTGTTATCATATTCTTTCTATCAGAACATTTAACATTTCATATTGTACAGACATTTAACAATTCATATTGTACTGGTACTGAATACCCTGTATTTATTTTTCTAAAAAGTCTTTACTCTTTATTTTTGAAAACAGTATTTTATTTTTACTGCATATAGATTCCTGAGTTTACTGTATTTTTCTTTTAGCACTTTAAAGATACTCATACCCTTCCATTGTGTTCCATCCTGTATAGATTTTAATGACAAATTGAAATTTTTATCTTTGATCCTCTGTACCAAAGATCCTCTGTACCATCTGTCCTTCCTGGCTGCCTTCAAGATTTTTCTTGAAGGGTGTCCCACAGTATTTGAATATTCTGTCATTTTATCCCCACTAGTTTTTGTCATTTTCTTTCTTTCCAGTTTGAGTAATTTATATTAATTATCTTCAAGTTCAGGCATTCTTCCTTCAGCTATGTTGAGTCTACTGATATATCCATTAAAGACATTCTCTGTAGAGTAATTTATATTGCTATCATTTCCATTTAACACTTAATCTTTTTAATCTCTTTGTCAAAATTGCTAGTCTACTCATGGATGGCATCTACCTTTAAAATAAACATTTAAAGATATTGATCATAGTTATTTTCAATTCCCTGTGTTACCATTATACTATCTGGTTCATCACTAGTCTGGTCCATTTTGTTTCTCTTGAAAGTGAATTGTTCTTTTTGTTTTGTTCTGTTTTATTGTGGTGTCATAAATATCTGATTGATTACCAGCTATAGTATGTAGATGTGGAATCTTTAATAAGTATTATTTTTTGCTTGGTAATGGGCATGTCTCCTCTTCTACTAGCAATTACCATAATGGATTGAATCAATGTAATCAGGAATTAAACTCGTTTTTAAGTTTTGTTGTTACTATGGTTATCTTCATTGCACCATAGGATTCAAGTTCTTCTGGTACCAACCTTGTGCTTATGGTGAAAACTGATTTGCAGAGGATTTTTCTCAAATTTTTAGTCCACTTTCAGCATTAGGTCTTCTCTATGTGTCTGCTGCAGAGAAAGTCTCCTGGCTCTTAACTGGTCCCAGCTGTTGCTTCTTTGTTTCAGTCTATTCTATCTTCCTAAGATTTATGTATAAAGATTCTCCTGGATCCTGCCTATCACACAGTGACACTCAATATCGAATGGTCTGGGTCCATGACAGTTTCTTGTACCTATCCCAGAGAAAGCATATCATTTCCTGTCTTATTTTCCTAGTGATAGAGGATATTTACTCATGCCTTGGAATAAACATGTTTGAAGTCCTTCTTCTAGCAGTTTAGGTCTTTTGATCCTGAGGCTATAAGGAACCAGGTAGTTACAGATTTTTTCGACAGTGGCAGCTGCTCCCTTGATTCAAATCCATGTCATCAAGGATAGGTTTCTTTTTTTTCACTCTACTGCCTGTACTATTTCTCATAAGGACTTAGAGAAGCCCATGGAGAAAAGCCTTCTGGTATCTATGGATTCCAGGACTTTTATGCTCTCTCATTTAACCCACACTAGTCCTTTGTCAATTTGGTTTTTAAAAAATACCTGAATTTGTTTATAATTCTTTGTATGGTGTCTGGTATCTCTTTTTTGGTGTTCTAAAGGGGTGCCAGTCCTTGCATTCTATCTCTCCTTGAAGATGCCCGTCTTTCCTTAGATTCCATTCTAGTTTGTTGCCCTGTGATCTCTGCTCTCTAATGGGCTCAAGAAAAGTTATGATATTTTTTAGATTGTCTGGGAATTTTTTGTTATTAGGGTGGGAGTAACAGTCTTTCCAGCATTATAAATCTTGAGTAGATTCCAAATATTTTAAATCATACAGATCCTCAGAAAAAGTATTTTTTAGTAACTTTCTCTAATATTTCTATATCTTATTGATAGATTATATACTGGCAATACTGTACAAATATATAAATTATGAAACATAGCCAAAAATAAAAGTAAAAAAGGATGAGATGGCTATTTGTTTTAAAAATGATGGCATAAACTCAGTATTCCCTATTTCTTCCCTTTGGAGGTTATTTTAAAGCAGCAGGGAAAACTGAATCCATCTGTGTTTCAAAGACAAACTGCCACTAAGGTGGCTTCCTCCAACAGTTACAACAATGACTTTGTTGCTACTGCCAATAAAAATTGCAATTTTTTCACCTATGTGAATGACTCTCACCTTCGGAAAGTAAATTTACTTGTTTTTTATGGTATATGCAGTCTTAGAGAAAGCAGAACTAAACAAATGATTACACAATAAGTCATGTTTACAGAAAACAGTGTGTTTCCATGATAGCAAAGAAGGGAGCCTTTGAATTGTGAAAACAAGTCAGTCTTCAATTACTACCCTTGATCTTCCTTAGAAACCCACCAACTGTCTCATGGGAAACCAATGTACTTCATTGTAAGCAATAAAAAGAGAACCGGCATTGAGCATCCTCAAAAATACTATGAGAAAAAAAGTAGACCCCTCCCAAAAAAGGACAAAATCTAATAACAGATGAAGAACTCTTATTAGGAAAAGTTGCTACAGTACAGGTGAAAATTGTGACTGGACATTAACCATGATTTTAAAAAACTTATAGGAAGATCATAAAGTAGAAATGCAGTAATTAAGGAAGAGAAGATAACATGTGAAGTGATAGATTGCTGTAAATGAGAATTGAAAATCAGATTTTAAGAGTAAAATTAAAGAAATAAGCCTGGGTATGGTGGCTCATGCCTGTCATCCCAGCACTTTAGGAGGCCAAGGCATAAGAGATTGCTTGAGCCCAGAAGTTTGAGACCACCCTTAGATAACATAGTGAGATCTCATCTCTACAAAAAATTAGCTGGGTGTGTTGGCATGCATCTGTAGTTCCAGCTACTTGGAAGGCTAAGGTGGAAGGTTTGCCTGAGCTCAGGGGGTCAAGGCTGTAGAGGACGGTGATCATGTCAGTGTACTGCAGTCTGGGCAACAGAGTGAGACTCCAACTCAAAAATGACAGAAATAGATAGCAAGTAAACAAAATCCAGCATATGTATAAGTGGAATGCCTGAAGAAAAATATTGAAATTATGTTGGGGGTGATTGTTGTGGTGAAATTTAAAGATGCAAATTTATATAAAAATATAGTTCAATAAAGCATTCCTAAGTTATCAGAAGATTTTAATATGTACATTAAATGATTAAAATATTAAAGGTGAATAGCCCACATTGTGATAGGGAAATAAAATCAAAATTATTATCACTGAGACATGGCATAGTGAAATTACTGGACTTCAAAATGAAGGCATAATTCTTTGTGGGCTGGCGGCCACTAAGAACCATCACCATAAGTGGTGGGAGGAGTGAGATGGGAACTCAAGCTGCCCTCAGATTTCTCAATGGCACTACTCAATAGCAAAAAGACAGTGGAGCACTATTTATAAGATCTTACAAAGAGAAAATATATATCATGGATTCTATATCCAGCCAAGTTTATTCAAATACAGAGGTAACAGATATACAGTTGAGAACGTACTATATTCTCAGGGTTTGTTTCCATAAGATGTTTTTGAGAAAATTAGTACTAGAAGACAAATATTGGTTAACATGTGGATGACTAGAAGCGCAAAGGCACAAATGGTCAGAGAATATATTTAACCATACAAGTAAAACTAAAACAACCATAAAAATTAGGATGATAGAAAATAAATAAAATATTATGTGTCTTCACAATGTAGAAATTGTATAACTAACAAAAATGGAAAAACATGAGGGAAAGAAGGTCTATAGCAGAGTAAGTATGCTGATATCTTTAGTTAAATAGTTAATTAATGACATGTAAAGTTGATAATATATATAAAAATATTTAATAATGCAAATGTAAACATCAAGGAAGGTTAAATAAGTGACTAAAATTAGGTGGAAAGGAAATAAGGAATTAGAGAGACATTGAAGAGTCATTCTAACTTCATTACTTTTCATTGAAAAGAATAATATGTTTGGGATTTTAAAAAATAGAAGACTGAGGGCAATATAAAAGGTTATAGTTATAAAGGTAACCAATGGAAGAAAATAATGCAAACCTTCTTAAATGTCAGAAGAACCACCCTTAAACAATTACAAAGAAGAAAGACACAGGGTAGTGAATAATCCTTTAAAATCTTTAAACATGAAAAACGCAATAAAAATCATAAGACAGAACCAATCTCAAATGTATTTATAATATGCATAAATGTAAATGGGCTAAAATTCAACTATTTTAATTAATGAGACTTTAGGATTGAATCACACAGCAAAATGCAAATTTGTGCTCTATACACAAGATATAGCTGAAACTAAGTGTTCAGAAAGGTTGAAAATGAAAGCCAGTGTAAATATAAGACGTGGTTGAATTCATACCAAAAAGCATTGAAGTAGACAAAAGAATATACCTTATAAAGTTAAAACATGTAATTCACAAAAAAACAAATCAAAAGAGTAGTGCCTTTGGTGACCAACTGGAGTCTATTTAAAGTGGCCATCTATCCCAGTTCATCATGGATGGCTTATGTCTGTTTTCCTGGCTTAATTATTTATAGAACATTCTTTCATATTTGAAATATCTGGAGCTAGATGATAAATTATATGGTCATCTTAGGTTTATTCTAGGAAGAGAAGGATGGTTGCTTATCAGGAAATGTATTCACATAAAACATGGAGTTTCAGTATTGTGCCATCAGCCTCATAACACTGCATGACATGCAGCATTATATCCTTTTATAAGCTCCTACAATTTCTTCAGCACTCATTTTCTTTGAGATCACTGGATCACAGCTTGATGTATGTTCCTTTTACAGGCTCCTTTGAAAAGCTTTCTGGAAGAATTAGGCAGACTGCAAAAGAAGTTTTATGCCAAAGATGAACGGTTACTCTGTCCCATCAGGACCTACCTGGTTACTGCTAAGAGTGCAGCCAGTTCAGGCGCCCGTGTGCTGAAGACCCTTCGTCGCTGGGGTCTAGAGATAGACGAAGCTCTCTTCCTTGCTGGAGCTCCCAAAGGTCCCATCTTGGTGAAGATCCGGCCCCACATCTTCTTTGATGATCACATGTTCCACATTGAAGGGGCACAGAAGTTAGGCACCATCACATCTCATGTACCTTACGGCTTTAATCAAAAATTCAACACTTAGGGACAGGGAGGAGAAATAAAGCAGTGGCAGTCTGGTATTTCAGAAGCCACTTCTTTTGCTCTCCAGGGTAATTGGATAGGCCTCTCAGAAGACCAGACCTCAAAATTTAGCTTCTTTAGAAAGGTTTTCTCTTGATTTTTAAAAAAACATTTTGAACCCTCAAGTTACGTTCAAGCTACTTATCTTTGAGCTATCAGTGTCGTTGAATGCCATTGCAACTACCTCTGTTGTATATCATAATGATGACTCTTTAGGGTAAGTTTAGAACTCAAATGTCTGCATGTTTAAGAGGCTGTTACAGAAGCGTACTTAGTTTCACAAAATACTGCTAATATTTGGATGTCTGTAGATGGAATAAACTGTTACCCATCAGCATTCTAGAATAGTGGTCTTCAAAGGTAGAATAAGTCCATTCTTGAATGCTAGAGTTTTTTTTATTCTGATGTCTCTATGGCAAAGTTTTTAACCAATACAAAATTAGAATTTCAGTCAACCTTTATATAAGTTTTGATACTGCTCATTTGTAAATAAAACAGCTGATTGTTCTTCTAGGGTGCCTTCTAAAACGGGATATAGACAACCTTCTGGGAACATTCTCTGATGCTAACTTGGTGAGTTAATTGCTTCTGGACCACAGAGCTTCATATTTGAAGTCTCTAGCTTTGAGTCTGACAGGTTGGCCCAAAGTTAGTATGGAAAAAAAAAATTGTATGGCCACCTCTTCAAAATGTGACATGAAGTGTAGTACCCTTGTCCTTCATTGTCATTCTATTGTCTAGATAGAATGTCATTGTTATTCTATCTAGAAATGTCATTCTGTTGTGATTTTTATTTTGTTTTCAACAAAAATTGATTGGTTATTAACTATAATATACCATGTTAGGTACATTACCTCATTTTTTTACCAAATTAAATGTTTGTTATATAGCAATATTATTGCTTTCCTTTTTACCAAATTTCAAAATGATTAAGTAGCTTGTCCAGTGATGTGGGACTAATAAGTGGTAAGACTAAAATTCAAATTCAGACCTTACTTCAAAAACTTACTTCTTTCCTCTCTATTATACAGCCTTCCAAATAGAGTTGTTATTAATTCCTTGGTCACTGGACCCATCCTGAACAGATTAATCATCTCGTTAAGTTCCCTGCATAAACTATAAGCAGTCTATTCCTCTCTTCCTCACTCTCCTGCTCTCTTTAACGCCACTTCTATCTCTGCTTTACCTGTCCATACATATTCCATCCCGGCAGTAGTAGAAGACCACAGCTGAATCACATATTTGATCTGCTCCCTAATCTGATGTAAATCAGTCCAAAATATATCAATCACGACATGTAACACTAATTGAGTGCCTACTGTTTTCTAGGCATTCCCCTATGTGAAGACCACAAGAGGGACTCAGACATATCCTCATCCTAAAGGAAATTAAAACCTTAACAATATGATAGAGGAAGTCAAATGTGCAAACTCAAATAGAGGGCTGTTTGTCCTCAGTACCAGTGAGGGTTAACATGAGGTTGAGGGAGCAGAGATCTGTATAGGCTGGAAACTTCAGGTGGCCTTTGAAGAATGAGCAAGATGTGAATGCGTGGAAAGGAAGAAAAAGAAGAAACAGATATGTTGGGGGTTCAGCGAGTTTGAGTGGCACTCTCAAACTGGGGATACGGTGGGGTAGAGCCACGGCTCATGATTCCAGGTCCTGCATCATCTAATCCCCAGTAATAGTGTTCTTTCCTATCTCTAAGCTCTATTCTCAGTACTCAAAGAAATCTCCCGGAGTCAACTCCTTTTTTCTTTGTATTATTACTATTAGTTGCATGTTATGTCCTTCTCAAATGTAAGGGAGTGTAGCAAGCATTCTGCTCTCCATTGTTATATTTAATAGTCTCATGGATGGGGCCGAGATGCACTTGTGAATGTGTCGGCTCAGAAGTCTGTGTTTACAATAAACCCAAGTTTCTCCCAGTGTACATCTGAAGATTTTATGTTTTTTTTTAAATAGGGACCAATGTGCTAACGGTCTTCTGTGGTTCTGTGTGGTCCCCAGATCATCAGCATCACCTTGCAAATTGTTAGAAGTGTAAATTCTGCCATTATGGACCTAGTGATTTAAAAACTCTGGTACCAGGGCCCTGAAATTTCTGAGTTTCTTTGTTTTATTTTGTTCTGTTCCACAAGCCCTCCCGGTGATTCTGATGCTCTTTAAAGTTTGAGAACTATTTCCAGCTAATCCACGTTGCTAAATTCTTAGTCTCACCTATGGGGAAAACAAAAAATAGTCCTCCTTCAGATTTCAGTTGGACAGGGACCATCCTCCAGAAGGTGAAAGAAAACTGAAATGAGCGCTTACAAGTCGCAGGATTCCCTTAAAGGAAAACACACGAAACACCCTGAAGAGTGGCATTCGCGAATCGGTTACAACTCGGCCTACAGAGAGATTTGTAAACTCAGTATTCATCAAGCATTCCTACAGAAAGACTGCCACCACTCTGGGATTTCAATGGATATGAACTCCAGGAGCCTGAAGACTTCGGCGGGTGCCCAGCCTCCACCAGTCGACTAGGAGCAGATTCCACAGAGAGCACAAGACCGCGAGCACGGAACTCTCCCCACCAATCAGGTGCCCTCAGGCGAGAAACTACAAGTCCCTGCATGCCCTGCGCACACCAACCCAGGACAACCAGCTGCGCCCCAGAGCTCTTCGCGCGCAGGTGGCAGCCTTGGTACTGGGAAGGCTGCAGCTCCCGATTCCCGCCCAGGGGCCTGTAGGCCCTGGCCCGGGCGGCTATGGCAGTGGCTACCGCGGTGGCACTACTGGCCGCTCTGGGTGGGGCGCTGTGGCTGGCGGCCCGACGGTTCGTGGGACCCAGGGCCCAGCGTCTGCACGGAAGCGGGGACGCCGGCCTCATGCACGGGAAGACTGTGCTTATCACTGGGGCGAACAGCGGCCTGGGCCGCGCCACCGCCGCGGAGCTGCTGCGCCTAGGGGCGCGGGTGATCATGGGCTGTCGGGACCGCGCGCGTGCCGAGGAGGCGGCTGGACAGCTCCGCCGCGAGCTCAGTCAGGCCGGAGAGTCCGGGCCAGGCCCGGGCCCCGGTCCCGGCCCCGGCGGGGCGGGCGAGCTCGTCGTCAAGGAGTTGGACCTCGCCTCGCTGCGCTCGGTGCGCGCCTTCTGCCAGGAGATGCTCCAGGTGTGGGCTACGGGGCCGAGCTGGGGAGGTGGGATGAAGGCCCGGGCCTGGGCGCGGGGTGGGAGGGGCCTGCGGCGCGGGGGCTGAGCCGGGGAGGGACCGCCCTAGGCCTAGGGGGTGTGACCTTGGGAAAGACCGACTGTGAGGAGGGAAAATGGCCACTTTGAGGCGGCTGAGGAGTTGCAGGCTTGATAAGGAAAGAGAACTGGGAGGGCAGTCCTGTGTTCTCTGAGGTCGTGGAGAAAGCAGTAGGCCCAAGATAAGAATATAATAAGCCAGTTTCTGAACATTTCATGTTACGTGAGGACGGCCCAGGAGTAGATCCCCTGGTCTCTGAATTGTTTTTCCTGTGTCAAAAGTGAATCTGCACAAGCCATGTCTTCAGAGCCATGCCGGGAGCTTTGCCAAATAATTCAGATACCTTTTTTGAGATTTTAAACGAAAGTCATCAAGTCTTCCCAGTAACCCTGTGAAGTTGGCATTATTATTCCCATTTTACAACTTGAGAAAACCGAGGCATAGAAAAACTGAGTAACTTGCCTTTGATCTGTCTCCAGAGTCTTTTATTTTGATCCCTGTTCTGTAACTCCTGCTGCCTGGCAGTGAGGTGCAAGAATTTCTTTATAAACCGGGCTCGGTGGCTCAGCCTGTAATCCCGCGCCTTTGGGAGGCTGAGGTGAGTGGATTGCCTGAGCCCGCGGGTTCGAGAC